TCGTCTATTTAAAATAAAAATACCAAGAACCACATCTTCTGTTAACAGCGCTCTGATTTCTGCTAAAAACATGATCATATTTCGGAGACTTGATGAAAAGCAGCTGATGGTTCAAATGGATGTCTCAAATGTTTCTTGCCTTTACTAATGAATTTCAAGCTGAAGTGAAATGAGGGGAAAACAATAATTTAAGACCAGCAGGAAGAGAGCCAGAAACATTGGGACTATGGACAAATGTAATTTTTTATTAAGAACTGCATTCAGCTCTAAAGAGACAAGAAAGACAACAGAACCCAAACGTTACTCTGCTAATTCTTTACTTGATCGAGTCTGTGTTCTGTTATCACAGCTTCAGACAATACACCAGACATCCCCTTGTGTGCTACAGACTAATCGCATGTTTTGAATTATTGAAAGCTAACTGGTGATGCTAACTGCCTGGAGCCCTGGTGGAAGCTACAGAAATACTTCTCCCTGCTGCCCCAACATGATCACTAGTCTGTGACCATCGTTCTCAACTTCTAACCCACAAAGAAGCAACCAGCTAATCTCTAAGGGGAGGGCAAATTAGATGACAGCTTTTCTTCTTCAAGCTAACTTAATCACACACTCTTATGCTTCTGTGAATCCCTTCAACTACTAGAACTTGGAACTAGTGGGTTTTAGAGCTGGAGGAACAAGAACATTGGGATCTAGACAGGGTAAGTGACTTGTGCCCAGTCACAGTGGCTGCAGGTCTCCAAACAGCCAAGACAAGAGTCCAGACCATCTCCCTCCTCCACTCCAGGAGGAACTTGGAACTAGTGGGTTTTAGAGCTGGAGGAACAAGAACATTGGGATCTAGACAGGGTAAGTGACTTGTGCCCAGTCACAGCGGCTGCAGGTCTCCAAACAGCCAAGACAAGAGTCCAGACCATCTCCCTCCTCCACTCCAGGACATTTTCCCACTACATCATATATGAGGTCTACAAGAGCAAGGACCAAAGGGACAACAAAGTAACTTCATGTTCCCCACAATGCCTTTGGCCTAATTCTATTCTAAATCCTCTTACTTAGCTGAAGTGATTAGTCATCCCCAGGAGGGCTCACGAGAGGTTCTCAGCTGAGGCGTACAACAGCTTCACCTTCCAGTCCATCATTCCCTCGAAGGCTGGCATCCTTCCCAGCTGCTGTCTCCCCTCTAGCCAGCAAATCTCCTGAGAACACCACAGCAGCTCCCCCCATGAGCAAAGTGAGTTCAGTCACTTCAATCTTGACACCCCTTTGTTTCTAAAAGCAGACATTTATTTTCAGTCTCCTTTTCAAGGAATTAAGACCCACGACCAGGAAGCCACTGACTGAACACAGCCACACTCAGTGTGTGGGAAAGAATAAAGGCCTCTGGTTAGTAGCTCCAGGCAGGGGAAGAGGCTCACATTTTGGAAAATTTCCTTGGAATAATCATACTTACTTGGAATAAAATATAAACACAAAACCACTGGAAAATTCCAAGCCACAAATGTTTCAATGTGGACCAGGATCCCGAATCAAAAACAAAAGGTGAAACCAGAAGTGGAAGAAGCCTGAGGGAGGGAAGAGAAGGAAGACGGAAGGGGAGAAATCAAAGGCTGTCAGAGAACTTTCCAGGTTTCTTCCTCTTCCTTTCCTCCCACACACACACACCTGTCTGCTAGTGCTCTCCCTTTGGCCTGCCTCCACATGAAGGCATGACCTGGGTCTCACAGGTAGCAAGAGCCGAGGGCCACATGGCACCCCAACCCCACCCTTCCTCACCCTTTCTTGTGGGTGTGAGGAAGGTCTCATGGCACAGACTCCATTCTCTTGGAGAATGGAGTTGTACAGAGGCTGCACATCCCCGAGGGAAGGAGGTGGCCCAGAGACCAGAAGACACAGGGATTCTGGGTGTGCACAGTGAATGGCTGAAAGACATGTTACAGCTACTAACACCTGGACTCTACAAAACATCAGAGTGTAAAAGGGAGAGGTTATGGTAGAAGAAAAAAGTGAAAAAAACCCCCAAAATGCAAACTTCATGGGAATTATTCAGTCTAGTGCAATAGTCAGGGACTGTGGTAAGTACAGGTTAATATGGAACAGTGAAGAAAAGAGGAAAACAATTAAGCTATTTGAGTTAGTGACCAGGTATTTGTCAAAATTCCAAGTATTTTTTCTTTTCATTTCTTACTTTAACAGGGGCATATTCTACTACCATTTAAGTGTTTCTTACAGTTTGGTCCTTGAAAATCTTTATCAGAAACTCTTTGGATGCTTGTTACTCCTGCGCTCTACTCCAGAGTCACTGGACCAGACTCTCTCAGGCTGTCACTCAGAAATCTGAAATTTAAACAAACTTCCCATGTACACTGACATTTATGAACCAGTACCATTTATGATCAGGTCACTGCAGAATTAGACAAACCCTATCTGTCCTCCAGTCTTCCCACCCCATTTCAGCATTACATACACTGAGGTACAGAGACAGTGAGTGTCCTCAAATCACACAGGCTACCAAGGCCTGCCAGGCCTTCTCTCCCCACCATGTCATGAAGGACAGACAGACTGAATTGGGCTAGAGAGCAGTGATTCAATTTTAATATTCTATATTTTTAGGCTAAAAGTGAAAATAAGTATGGTTTCCTGAATGAAAAACATACCACATTTTCTATTATGAATATGTATTTCATTTAGAATCAGGAAAAAAACATTTACTTATTAAAGAACAAGCAAATAAAACATGAGATATAATTTATGGACTTAGTGGGCTATGCCTCATTCCTGCTTCTCTGAATAAGGCCAAGGTGAGAGCACCCCCAGTTTCATCAGGCCTCCCCTACCCGGTGCCTGCAAGCTGTCCAGCTCTGCCTACAACCTTGACTTCTTGCAGGAATAGAAATGTCTGAGGAGAAGGGCAAGTGGTGGGAACCTGGGCAGGGCGAGCAGCCTCTCAAAAGGTGCGATATGGCGCAACTGGACTGGCTAAATGTCTGGGGAAGACCCAGACTCTCTGACTGGTGTCATCCAGTAGAGTCCAATAAGAACGGTGGCAGAGGAAGGACAATTTGAATGGGAAAACTGTATTCAACCAAGAATACCTGCTTATTTGCCCAAACCACAGAATGTCCTGCAGGGCAAAAAGGAGTGAAGATGACAACATCTTTCCACACCCAAATTGCTAAGGCAGTTCTCAGAAATTTGTTTTGAGGAGAATGACTGAAAATAGAGCAGTAATCACTACTTTTGAGACTAGATTCCATAAATATAATGACCAGCACTCAACTCCTGATTATCTCTGTTCACCGAGGACAAAGGCTTAGCAGGGAAGAAAGAAGGTGGACACACCTGGGGTCCTAAGGGTGCTATACTCCTCCATTCTCAGTTCCTGGGAGGTGCACGTAGATAACTACAAGAGCTGAGTGGAAATCCAAGTGAGTGCCTGCCCATCTCGGTGCAGGTCTATCTGCCTCTTGATTACACCTGCCCTTGGACATAAGCAATGGTTCACAACCTCCCATCCTCTTACCTAGTAACAGGACCCTGTTATATAAAGTCCCTAAGGCCCTTTGACAGTCTCTGGGAGAACTTCCTGTCTTCATGCCAGAAGATAATACAGAGGATAGAGAAGAATACTGCCAGTAACTGAGCCCCGGCATCTTCAATGAGGTCAATTTTATATTAAAATGTGTGTGTGTGTGTGTGTGTGCGTGCATGTGTGCACACGCACACACATGCGCATGTATAAGCATTAAAAACACTAAAATGAATTACTTTAAAATGTCAGTACTGATTATTCTCAGTGATTTTACTTTTCTTTACACTTTCGGTATTTTCCAATTTTTATCATAAAAGTGATTATCTTTTTATAATCAAGGAGAAATGTTACTTTAAAAAATAATGATAGCTGTAATTTACCCAGAGAGGAAGATGGCACATAATAGACAGATGAAGCCCTTTATATAGTACAAATATCTACAAGGAGATAGAAAAATAGGATGCAGAGATAAAGACTTCACATCCTCTTCTGTATAGCCCATTGCCGCTACTCATGTGTGAAATTCCCAGGCCTCTGCCTACCTATTTCTAGGAGCCCCTAAAGATTATATGTATTTTTAAAAACTCCTTAAGTTTAAACCACAACTTCGAACTCCTACACATCAAACATTTCCACCTGTGGCACCAATAGATGGCAAAATAACTAAGCCAAAGTTTTCATGTGCTATTTTGTTTTTTTCTTCTTTTCTGATATAGATATTAAAAGGTAGTGGAAAAAGTAGCTGGATGAGAGAATTATTTGTGAAATTATTAATTTCTGAATAATTAAGAAGTTAAATATACAGTTTTCACATCATAGAAATGATGAAAATTTAAGTATCAGTGAGTTTCTTAAAGTTAAAATGAAACTATAAACAAGTAACATAAGCAATTGAGAATTTCCTTCTCTAGAATAGTGTATTAATTTGGTTTTGTGTTGCTATAATACAATACCTGAGACTGCGTAATTTATTAAAAAAAAGTGGTTCATTTAGCTCACAATTCTGGGACAGCTACATGGCAGAAAGCAGCAGGCAGCCGGTGGGTGCAAGATCACATGTCAAGAGGAAACAAGAGAGGGAGAGAGAGGGAGGTGCCAATGTCCTTTTAAACAACCAGCTCTCATGGTAACTAATAGAGAACTCGCTCACTGCCCCCTCCTCTTCACAGGAGGGTATTAATCTATTCATGAGGGATCCACCTGCCATCACCCAAATAGCTCTCAACACTGCCACACTGGGGATCAGATTTCAGCATGAGCTGTGCAGGGGACAACATACCCAAACTATAGTATATGGGACTCTTATTCAAGATGCTTCGACTGCTTCATCCTTCCCCAGTGAACAATGTATGATTTCAAATCTATCTAGAGCTGAGGAAACATCCCTGGCCAACCCTAATTATCAGGTGGTAATATATTAACATCCGTAAAGGTTTTTGCTTCTTCTTTTCTATATATTTTCACCAGATTATTAAGCCACACAGCATACACATAAAACTGTTAATTTGATGAAGCTCAACTTATTTGCCAGTATCCATAATGCTTGGGAATGTTACACTGCTCCCATGTTTGAAGTCTGTGGTTTTCTAAAGAATGATATAAGTAAAAGAGATATTGTGGCTGCCAGATGGCAAAAATAAAATATACAATACCCAAGACTGTCAAAGAGCACCATTTGGCATTTTCTTTGATGTAACTGTCATCAGATGGAATAAATAATAGACTGAGAATCAAAAGAAGTACATTTAAAATATAACACTGCATTTTGGTAGTTACATAAACTTGTACATTACTTACTTTCTTCACCTTTAAAATGGGAGTTGTGAGAATTTTAAAAAGGCTAATGTTTGTGAAAACATTCAAAATTTTTATAGAATGCAGCAATCTACTTGGGGGAAAAAAGAAGCTTCAATCCTGGGGCTCTACGCCCTTGAAAATTCCATCCACACAGTTTGGATGGCCTGGAGCAGCGGGGTGGAGCTGAGGTAAGGTATAGGAATAAACAAAAAAGGTTTCCTCAGTTCAGGGAACAAGACTATGGAACATTCTTTTTCTCTTAGTTGAGTATAGTTTCCAAGAAACACTCCACTTGGGCATTCTCAGTGGGAGTCAAGCCATAAGTCAGGAGATAGGCAGAGTTTAGCAAGATGGCTCAACCTATTAACAGAACCCTTTGCCATGTTACCAGGTACACAGTGTTTAGGGTGGATGAGACCCAACTGAAATAGAACTGGGAGTAGGCACAGGGTGGGAAAGCAGTGCTCAGCCAGCAGCTTTCTGGGCTTCTGGACTGATTCACTATGCACCAAGGAATGCCAAAGGCAGATCTTTCCTGTGGTACCGTGATGACCACAGTGGCCTGACCAGAAGGAGAACCACCCAGTTACTAAAGGAAGAAATGGCATCCTGTTGACACTCAGCCTCTAAAACTGCAGCACTACTTCTGTGGAGGTATGTAAGACTGCCACCAAGAATGTACATAAGAGCACTTTGCCTTCGTCATCCTAGTCTTTAGACATAAGACAGAACAGTGTCTCGCCGTCTGTTCTGCAAAACATTAATCCCATAAAACACCCCTAGAAGAAGTCTTCCTGATATCAGGTACATTTGGGAAATAATATTTTCTATATTCCTCAAAGAAGGGTCACTGCACCTAAAGCACATGAGAGGCCCTGAAAAGTCTTGGGATTTAAAAAAAACTCTAACTTTGTTTAATCAAGCTGATTAAAAGAGGCAACATTATCTAGTGGTTAAGAACGGGGGTTCTGGAACCAGGCTTTGTAACTCATGTTCCTCCACTTGCTAGTTCTGTGAACTTGGACAAGTTCATCTTTCTGCTCAGTTTCTGCACCTGTGAAATGGTAATAATAATATATCTTCCTCGTGGTGCTATGAAAATGAAATGAGCTAATAATAACTGCAAATCATCGAGAACAGTATCTAGAATATAGAAAACAATCAATAAATGTGCATTCAATAAATAAATCATTCAATAAATATATATTCAATAAATAAATAATGATTAACATCCAATTATCTTTTATAACACCTATTTAAATCATAAGGAACCTGTGTCCAACGGAATAGAGAAATGCTAGTATAGAAAAATCCCTTTTACCCAAAAAGAAGTCAGCATCCTCTGTAGCACCAAAAGCACAACAAAGAAATCAGAGTTTCAGTCTTCTATATCAACTTAAACTTCCTGGGTGTTTCCTTACCTATAAAAATAAGATCATTGTACTAGTTGGTCCTTCTAGCTATAACAGGCTAGAATCCTAGGAAAAATGCATAGTTACCATTAAAACTAAACGCTTTTGGCCAGTCCTGGTTCCAACCTGATTGTTCCTAAGGTTCTGCCTCCAGACACCTTGCTCAGATCTAAAGCTGCCATTGAAGGACTTCAGGTTAGGAGCTGGTTGCTGTCCAGCAAGATGGATATGGAAGTGGTCTTGTGCCACCTTACCCCAGAGTTCTCAAGCATGCAGAGTGAAATAAAGTAGCAGCAATAACAGCAGCTATAGGCTGCAACCTGCCCTGCAACAGAGGAGGGCACCTCTACTCCCTCTGCCTCAGTTTCTGGCACCAAAGCTTGGGCATCACTCTCATTTCCCTTACTGAGGTCTCCAGGGCCCACAGGGAGCCCAGTCCTGTATACTTGTCATTCTGCTTGTCTGAACTTTGCCAGCTTTTTCTAAGGGTTGAACTTTTCTTCAAGTCCTCCTTATCTGTACAAAATTCCAGGCTGCAATTTCAATTTCAATTGTGCTCAACCTTGTTGACATATCTCAAATCTGGACCTCGCTGTTGAGTCCACACTGTTCCAGCAGAGAAAGAGCTGCTGCTTCTGCCCCTGAGGGTGTACAGCTCATGCCTCTGCTTACCCCAGCTTAGTCTTTTAATTTCTGGAATGTCACAAAGCCATGCCAATCTGCATTTTACTTGTGCATCCATCCACCCATCCCTACCCATCCAGACATCTAGCAAGCCATCCAATATTAACTGCTTCCCACATTCAGGTGCTGTTCTAAGTTCTGTTGATGTAATAGTGAACAAAAACAGACATTCCCCCATTCTCATTCAACATACATTTTAATAGAAGAAAAAGACAAATAAATGAACAAGATCATTTCAAATAGTAAAAAGTGCTATGAAGAAAACAAAACAAGGTAAAGCTTTACATACAGTAATGGTGATAGGGAAAGGGGGACTCAGTGAGGGGTGTCAGGTTAGGCCTCTCAAGGGAGGGGACACCTGAGCTGAGTCCTGAAAGACAAGCAGGAGCCAACTATGCAAAGACCTGGTGCAGAGTATTCTCCTGGTAGCAGAGAACAGCTGGTGTAGCTTGTGATAAGGAGAGGGAAATAAGGCCAGTGTGCCTGGAGCAGAGTGACTGAGAGGGAGGGAATAAGAAATGAGGTCAGAAAGGGAGGCAGGGCTAGATGTTGCCTGACCTTATAGGCCAGGATTAGGAGTTTGGATTTTATTCTCATTGCATCAGGAAGCCATGGAAGGATTTTAAGCAGAGAGCGACATGATAAGGAACGATAAATCCATCCCTTTTCTTGGGGCCGCAACAACTATAGTACGTGTTTAGCAATATGTCAATGATTTTCCACCAAATTCTACATTCCGTTTGCTTATACTCACACTAGGGGTATTAACATACTGCAAAAGAGTGAAAGCTAAAATTCTAACAAAACCTCCAAAAGATATCCCTCTTGGCCCAAGAGAAATATTATAGTATAATTTGAGAAGTCAGAATTTCATATATGTTAATAGCTCTAATTAATAAGATAAATCCTTCTCTTTGGGGTTTGGCAGTGATAGCAGCTCAAGCAGAAGTGCTATTTGAATCCTCAAGTAAGAGTTTTACAGAAAAAGAAGCATTGCTCACAGTGAAGGACTTGGCCTGGAAAGTAAGAGAATTGGAAATGTAAAGATGTTGTCTTTAACAAGTGTCATTTTACCATTTTACATCTTTTGACAATATAGCTCCTAAAAAAATGTGCATGAAAGTGAGTTTACAATTAAAAAAAAAATCCCAAACATAGGCTAAATTAGTGGCCCATTCCTTGCCACTGTAATAATACATGATTAAGTAGGAAGATGAGAAAGCAAAGCCTCTCTTTCTAATACTGATAGACACCGTCCCCACTGGTCCTTTACATTGGGATGAAGACTTGCATGGGGAAGCTGACTCCTGCTTATGTTCCCAATGAAATTACATCTTTCCAGGGGTAACATCAGGGACAAAACTGTAGCAGACATTGTTCATAAGATTCTGCCAAGTTTCTATGTACCTGTGAAATTGGGAAAGTGTATGTGCTCCTGACAATAATATTCAGCAAATGAACTGAAACCAGATGAAGTACAATCACCAACAGAGAGGGACATTCAGTAGTTAACATCCAGACAGCTCTAAGAACTCCTCTGTTTAGAGGGACTAAGAGCACACAAATGCCACCATCCTTAAATGGGGCAAGACTTCCTCTGTCTCATGGGGAAGAAATACAGATTGGTCCTTCTCTCAAATCCCCCACACTTGGTTAAGATTATTCTTTTATTTTTAATATCTTTAATACGTGTTGAGGCTGCTCTGTAATAAAATTATTCTCAATTTATATCACAAATGGACGACTGTCCTACCTTTCCCAATATGACGTAAAATCCTCGAAGTCAGAGTCATCTCTCCTACTCCCCACTAACCCATGGTATAAAAATATCAAACGGCACAGGGGTGAGGGAGTGAAATGAAAAAGAATTGTCTTCCAGATTTGCTTCCTATAGATAACCACTGTTAAGTTTCTTGTATTTCCCTCCATAAAAGTTTGTGAGCAGATATAAACTTTAGTGTTATTCAGTGTTCAATCCAATGAGCAAAACTGAGAAGAAACACAGATTGATATGCAGAATTTTAAATTATTTCTGGTTCAAGGCCGTATATATAAATTAAATAATGATAAATTACTGCAAAATAAGAGGTGTGTGCGCACATTCCAAGGTAGCTACAACCTGCCTCCACCCACCACTCACTCTCCTTTTCCCCCCCAGGACTTCAGCTAGCACTGCAGATGGGTGGCAGATGGAGTAACCTCGGTACTGGCCTGGTGAATCCAGTTTGGTCTCTAACCCACCGTGTATTCTCTGGCCAACTTACTCCATTTCTCTGGATCTGTTTCCTCTCCTAAAAAGTGAGAAGGTGTTCTTTGAAGTCCCTTTGACAGTCCAGGATTAAAGTTGATTGAGTAACAATAACTACAAACAGGCACACTAAGGGCAAAGACTGAACTTTGTATCAATACCAAGGCTCAGAAACAGGAAGAAAATCATAGCGATGGTTAATATAACAGATTTCCAAGAGAATATGAATGTAAATTAGACTGAAGCTGTTATTTTTTATCAATTTCCTGAGATATAATTCCTAGAAAAATCCATATGTCTTGTTTTACTACAGAACAGAGATGTACCCAGCAATATACACTGCTCCTGAAGTTATCCTAGAGTACATCAGTAACCCTTTAGAAGTAGAACCACCCACATTTACTCATTTCTCAGCAATGTATATGGTCTACCCACCAGCATCAGAGGGTTAGTGACTATTTTTCCATTGTCAAGAATCATAGATATGTCCAATTACATTCAGTAGCTAGAGGATTACAACTTGAGCTACTAATATAATTTACCACCGTTCAACAATTAGCTGACTACTAGGTGGGGGGGGCCTTCCTGCTGGTCAGTCTACATTTGCAGCACTGCGTTGTACCAGCAGCACAAATAAATATCCAGGGGAGTAGACAAGTGAAGAGGGAGGGGCTAAGAAGGGAGAAGGAAATGATGCTCAGAGCGGGTAGGACACCAGCCCTGTTAAACATCCACTTGGCAATTTCACTTCAAGCTAGAAATAGCAAGCCACTAATAATGGTTGCACATCCTTGTTATAGGGCAAAGCCGGGAGAAGGGAGGTGGCATTCACAAGTGTCTTTGCTAGATCTTCTTTCCATGTCTTTCAGAGGCAGGAAAGATGGAATTTGAGAGAACAAACTCTGGAGTCAGAGAGCCACAGGTTCTGCTACTACTAGACAATTACCTAATCCTTTTAAAGTCTCCATTTGTTCATTTATTTACAAAGAGATAGATAAGGCAATGCATGCATTATGTTCACTATTTGTATCATTTGAAACTGTGAGTTTTCCTGTGAAAGACAGGATCCCTGAGAAACAATACAAATAAAACTGAGAAATCACTCCCTAGTAAAAAAAAAAGCTGTTCCTTACCTGAAAGGAATTCATACGGCGAAGGGATGGGGGCAGTGTGGCATTATTCCTTGATAATATCAACAGCAGCTCCAAACAGGTTGCAGAGGGGAGGGTTAGAGAGTGGACACTGATGTCGCTTTCCCATGAGCTGGCAAGACTGAAACACACCAATACATTAACTTTCATAAATGCATCATCATTAATTATCTCAAAAATCTGACACAGAAGAAGACAACTTTCAGCTGTGGGAGAAAAGAAGCAATATACAAAAAGTAGAAATGAAATATATTTAAAAACCCACACAGTAAATGTCCAAGACATTTTTATATTGTTGTTGGTATAAAGCAGATGGATTAGACAATTTTTCAGGTCATCATTTCTTATTCAAGGTATGTGTTTTGTAATTTATAATTGTGTGAAATGCAGTCTTACTTGTGTGGGACCTGCTGGGGGATGTGGTGAGGACTAATAGCTAACATATCAGATGCTTCCTATATTCTATGTTCTGTTCTACATGTAATATCTTGTTTACCTCCTCAATAATCTCAGAAAAGGAACCACTGTTATCCCCATTCTACAGATGTGGATATTGTTTCTGAGCTTGACAGGCCCTTATGGAACATCTAGTTATTTTCAAACTTTTAAAAAGTGATAGGCCCTTATGGAACATCTAGTTATTTTCAAACTTTTAAAAAGTGATAGAATTCAAAAAAAAAAAAAAAAAAAAAAAAAGAAAAAGAAAAATGTAATAGCCCCAACTTATAATACAAATAAAAGCAAAACTGCTCTATTTGAAGGGAATGGGTTGGCAGGAGGCCTCCCTTCATCTTCCAGAGTGGCCTTTGAAGCATCTCTGCTACATCCTGTGGAACCTATTCAAAAGTCCTTTCATTTGAGAGATCAGGAGACTGAGGGCCAGAAAAGTAAAGGGACTTGTCTGAGATGAGGCATATGTGTAGAAAGTACAAGGGTAGGTCTAGAATCCTGGTTCCCTGACTCCTCATCTAGTGCTTATAGTAAGGAGAAAAATCAGGAAATAATTATGAAAAAACAATGTAATAAAGATAACAAATCTTAGTTTTCAACTCTTCTTTCATGTGCCAACTAGTTGAACTGGAATAGGACACTGCTCATTTTCCTAAAGATGGTCAGACTTCAGCAAGGACACATTTGAATGTCTTTCCTCTGTTTTAAACATTTTTTTATATTGGTTTTGCTATTCTTTCTGCTTTTAATCATTACATAACATTCTCAACATTTTTCTGGAGTGGAAATTAAAATGTTGTCTTTTCAAAAATTCAAACTTAGTACTTAGTGCAGTGGCTCCAAGCTCACTCTCCACCCACCCGCCTTCCTTATGCCCTCCACAATCCAGTTACTTTCCATCCTCTGAATAGCACGACACTACCTGCTCTATGTATTCAGTTTTCTGGGCTTGGAAGGCTGTCATCCTTCCTAGTGAACCTCTATTCATCCTGCAAGACCCACTTAAGTTTCCTTAGAGATATCATCCTGTTTCCCTTATAAGAATTAACTACTTGACAAATATTGCACTAATATCTGTTGAAACACTTACCACTGCCCTATTAGTAAATCTTATTCGGGATGTGCATACATCTCTAATTCTTCCTAGATCAGACATGAGTGCATTCCTCTAATTTTGCAGCATTATTTGGAAATAAATATTAGAAAGTTGCCGCAATATTGCTTTTCTGCAGACACACTCAGATATTAACCTTTTACTGGCTAAAAAGAAATACTTTTTTTCACTTACATTAATATCAAGAAATATTTAAGTTTTCAGAGTTTATACCACTGACCCCCACCACCTACAATAGGGCTCACTAAAGCTATTTAAATTCTGAATTTTTTCTTTAAAAAGTATGGTGAAAAAGTTTTTGTTTTTCTGAATTGGATCTCTTGTAGAAAAACTTGACAGCGCTTTGGATTGTGAATGTCCCTGGAGAGCTCATCTGTGACTCTCTAAAACCTCGCCCAGGCCCATAATGCTGTGGACCCTCAGTAAGGGTTTCCTGAGGTGAGGTAAGTATGGCAAGCCAGAGTGGCGCCTGCCAGAGAAGAAAGCATCTTTGAGGCAGTGCCACTCTTTCATCATTTCCATTCCTCTTCTGGCAGCAATACATTTGCAAAAGAGAGAAAAAGGTAAATTATACAAATAAATATTTATAAAACAGAGTTATCTTAGTTTACTATGGCTACAACATGTTCTCCATAATGTATGTTTGAATTTTCTAAGTCTTAGGCCTCAGCTTTCTTCTGATTATCATTTATCCTGTGCCTAACATGTACAGACAGTGGGCCAGATACTTTAGTTATATTTGTTGTTTCTAATCCTGTAGCAGCTCTGAATGGCAGGCATCATTCATCCCATTTTAAAGATAGGAAACCAAAGGTCAGAGAGGTTAAGTGATTGTCCAATATCACACAGTAAATGAGTGGTGGAACCAGGATTCACTCAGGTCAGCCTGAATCTAATGCCTGTGCCCTCCCCACCTACCACAATGATTGCTGAGGACACCATACATATTATTATTGTCTCCAAGCAAACCATAAGTAGGACCTTATAACTGAGCCTGCTAATGCCTATTTCTTCTGTAATTTAACTCTTTAGCTAGCAAAATATACAAAGTATTTTCTTCTTTCTGTAAGCAGTAACATTATTATTGTTAAGATACTACTTTATTATTTTTGTATACATATTTTTCCCCAAAAACTTGAATAAGAAAGGTAGTAGTAAGATAGACATGGGAAAATACTCATATATAACATATATAAGAGAAAATAGCTATATGGTGAGTAAAAAGATTAGGAGGCAATACAATATATATTAATAGCTATTTCCATTGGAGGGAAATAATAACCTTTTTTTACATTTTCTTCTTTACCCTTTTTTCACTTTTCAAGTGTTATTTTCATAGTCAGAAACAAGTTAATGCTATGACGTTGATGTGATATATGGTACAGACAAAGGAATGTTCAGATGCTGCTTGAAGGTTTCAACATGCTGCATAAAAACAGACAAACAGACCAATGGAACAGAACAGAAAGCCCAGAAATAAACCCACACACTTACAGCCAACTGATTTTCGAAGAAGATGCCAAGAATATAAAGTGGGGAAAGGACAGCCTCGTCAATAAATGGTGCTAGGAAAACTGGAGATCCACATGCAGAAGATTGAAACTAGACCACTATCTCTCACCATACACAAAAGTTGACTCAAAATGGATTAATGACCTAAATCTAAGACCTGAAACTATGAAAGTACTAGAAGAAAACATAGGGTAAACGCTACATGAAATGGGAGTGGGTAGCACTTTTCTAAGTGAGACAACAAAGGCACAGGCAAGTAAAGCAAAAGTACACAAATGAGACCACATCAAACTAAAAAGCTTCTGTACAGCAAGGGACACTATCAACAAAGTGAAGAGACAACCTACAGAATGGGAGAAAGTCTTTGCCAGGAAAGTTTGGAATGTTTCAGAGATTGGTTAAATTAGTGGCGACCGGAATGCTTATAGAAATACGGACTGTAAAGACCATTCTAAGGAGGTCTCAGATAGAAATAAGAAAGAATTTACTGGAAACTGGGGCAAAGATCAACCTTGTTATGAATTGGCAAGGAACTTGGCTGCATTTTGTCCATGCCAGAATTTACTGGAAACTGGGGCAAAGATCAACCTTGTTATGAATTGGCAAGGAACTTGGCTGCGTTTTGTCCATGCCATAGGACTTTGTGGAAGTTGGAACTTAAGAGTTGTGAACCAGAATATTTGGCAGAAGAAATTTCTAAGCAGCAAAACATTCGGGAAGCTGTATGGCTACTTGTCACAGCCTACACTGAGTTATGGCAACAAAGGCATGACATGAAGCCAGAATTTAAAAGGGAAGCAGAGCATAAAGATTTAGAAAATTTCCAGCCTGGCCATGTGGTAGAGAAGCAGAGAGCATTTTCAGGAGAAAAAAACAATGGTGCTCAGAAGATTAGTACAAAGTAGAGATAATCAAGAAAAGGAGGGAAAGGCCCTGAAGGCATTGCAGAAGCCTGTGGGGACAACCCTTCCACTACAGGCCCAAAGGCCTAGGGAGACAGAATGGTCTTGGGGAACAAGCCTGAGGTACCCTCCATGGGCTTGCTGCCCAGGAACACGTTGGAATGCTGCTCCCCACACCAGCCCCCCAGCTGGTTCAGCTGTTCCAGCAATGGCTAAATTGGCCCCAGGTGTGGCAGGACCCACAGCTTTGAAAGATCCAAGCCCTGGGCCAGCCTGGTGGCGCACTGGAGAGTGTGCTGCTTGAGAGCGCAGCGGGAGCGCCGCCGAGGGTTCGGATCCCATGTGGAGACCGGTTCCCGCTCACTGGCTGAGCGCAATGCGGGCGCGACACCGAGGGTTGCGATCCTGTTACCGGTCAGTAAAAAAAAGACAAAAAAGGGAAAAAAAAAAAAAAGATCCAAGCCGGAAGCCTTGACTATAACAGCTAAAGCATTGTCTGAGACCAGGAAAGCCACAGAAGTGGAGCTGCCCGAGGACCTGGGGACCCAACCCCTGCACCAGCATGAAGAGGACTTCGAACGTGGAGTTAAGGTACATGATTCACCAGATGTAAGATTTAATACATGTCCTACTGGGTTTCAGACTTGTTTGGAACACATTAAACCTTTCTTTTAGCCTATTTCACCCTTTTAGAATGAGAATACATACCCTGTGCTCATCCCACCATTGTTTCTTGGAAGTAGATAACATGTTTTGTTTTCACAGATGGGTCCTTGAGACTTTGGACATTTGAGATAAAACAAGACTTTGGGGATGGAATGAATGCATTTACCTGTGAGAAGGACATAAACTTTGGGGGCCAGGGACAGAATGATATGGATTTTGTCCCCCAAGTTTTAGGTATTAGTAGTTTGATCCCCACTGTGACTGTTAAGAGGATGGGAAATCCTATTACGTTAATTGAAAGGTGGGGCCTTGAAGAGGTGATTAGCTTCTGAGGACCATGCCTAGTGAATGGATTAAAAATGGTGGTCAGAGATGTGGTTCTGAGGGCTTTAAAACAAGAGCCCGTGAGAGGTTAATCTCTCTCTGATCTGCTATTTCCTGCCATGTGAGACCCCTAGGTCACTGTCACCACCAGTT